TTGTTAGTAAATCTGACACTAATGGCCCAACTATGGGCAACTGTGGCTCTAACCCAAAGGTTATGGATTCGATCCTAGCAGCAGTCAGCATTTTGCTCCCAATGTCTCGGCCAATAGTGTGTGAGTGTCTGTGAATATTAGTTTCCCTGAGCAGGTGTCACCTTGTATGGCAGCCTCTGACTCTTTATGAATGTGTGAGATTGGGCGACTGCTGTATATGTAAAAGCACTTTGAGGAGACAGAAAGACTACATACAGTAAAGCTCTACTGTATATAAAATGTACCTTTTTAGGACGCTGTAGCTGTATTCAGTGTATTAAATATGCTTTTTTTCCTAGCATAAATATTTTGTGCTGGTAAGCAGGAACTTGGCTGAAAAAAAATATTTCAAAGGGGGATGCTTATTGAAAAATATTTTGAGCAAAAACTATGGGCACTACAGCCAAGCGTGCTAAAATACATTAATTGTATACAACTTCTTACACAGTCAGTAGCAGAATAGAGAATAGTGGAGCTCTCAAACACATATAAATGTGCTTTACATATTGATTCATTTCAGATTCTACATACTGCCTTGTTTTGAGTGATTTTAATGTAAGACCCAAGAACTAAGGTCCTTCAACTTGAACTTTGCTGTCGTTTTGAAGTTTTGGCACCAAAATACCCCAGAGACGGCAAATCACTTTTGAAGGTCAGAATAATACCAAACTGTTTGAACAATGCTTGAACTGGCCGTTGCGCCACCACGTGTGTTCTGGGAGGGTTTATTGCTTTCAGTTTTGCAGTTTTTCACTTACTCATTATCCATCAATTCAGCCACTGCATCTGTCTGTTCCAAACCTATAATTCAAATTGACTGGTGGACATTAAACGGCATTAATGAGCAGTCATGGCTGCCAGTGTTTTGATTGTGTTGCTCGCTCCCCCATTAGCTCACAGCCATTAACGGACTGAATATTTAATTACGTAACTTCCTCTATTACTCTAACATTAATGTAGTCTACATTTCATATCCCTTCGCATAAACTCTTAACACATCCCACCAGCACTGTTGACATTCACCTCCACTTTATAGTTCAGCGTGGGGAGGAAATCCTTGGGAAGAGAAACGCTAAATAATTTCTCCTCATTGCTCCAGGGCTTCATGAGCACCACTCATTAATTAAGGGGAATGTTTTAGTCATGACTCCCTCCAAAGCTTTTGCATATTAATAAGGAGTGTGTTCTAGTGAGTGTGTACCTTGTGAGTGGAGGAAGCCTCAGGCCAGGTCTTGACTGGCACTTAAAGACACAGTTCATGGTTGGATATAAAAGATAGTTGTGCAGTGCAGCACTGTTGTAAATCCCCACCGCAGAATCATCAAAGGTTGCCTTTTAAAGTATTGTTTATGATCATATAAAATCCTGTTAGATATTTAATTGAAGCTGTATTAATTGCCGCTTAATCAGCTTGATAAGCTCAGCAGTAAGAATCAATAAACACGTTGCCAAAAATCAATTAATCTCATATTTAATAGCAACACAGAGATTAATTATTATTATTTCATGTTGTTTTAATTATGTTCTTTTGAAAAATTGTTGAAACTGATATCCTTTTCTGACTTCCACAACCGTGCATAAGCTCATTGCCTCTTATGCCGTTTTGGTGGCTTCAGGTCGCCTCCTAAGCAGCCTCATTAGGAGGTTTCAATGGGGCTCATTAGTGAAACATGAAGTCTGTGTTGAAGCCATGACGTGTTGATACTGCTGAGAATAGCATGTTGCAGCAGGCTGATAAAAAAGCTGAGTTGACAGAAATCAGTATTAACTATTCCCTAATAATGACATGATAAACTCTAAATAGGACACTTATTTTGCAGTTAATTAGTATTAGTAACTTATGTATCTTATGTGAACACAACGCTTGTCTCCCTTTGACATTGGAGTAAAGATCAAATAGACTATGGCTTTAACTGTTTTTTTTCCAGGGTCCTGGTAGTGCGAGTGCGGACTCACTGTCTGTCATGACTTACCAGGACGCTTAAATCGAACAGAGCCATAATGTTAAGATTAACACATCTGCTTTTCTCATTAAGACGTAAGAAATGTATAATAAATAAAAAAAGCTTGGTTTTTAAGGAGAATGTTAGCATGAACGCTATGCGTTTTGTGTTGCATTTGTGACCTTTGAACACATCTCTTTTGTTGAATAAAATCAGCCTGTGCAATTCTAATAAAATATTAAAGAAGAAGCTTGGGACAAAACTGGAGTTATAATTGTACATCGCAGATTGTTAGAAAGTTGCAAAAGGAAGTTATAGTATGGAGCCATTGACATTCAGCATTGATTTGACCAAAATTCCCTGCACACGCATTGATCAATTCACTTTTTATCTGGAGCAGTTCAGCTGAATTGTGGGGCATCATGAAAGTTAGTGGATGAGTTTGGATTAGCAAAAGGTCAGAGATGGAAACTGTCCTGGATTTGAAGACCCTCAGTGGCAACAGTTCCAACCTGTGTCACTTGTCTTTTGGTAATATGAGTTACTGCAAATTAGTTTTGGTGCGTGCACTTTTATTGCATGAAATGCTTTGTATTGTTGATATTGTTATTACATATCATATTGACTCAGGGTGAAGCAGAGAAAACTGCAGCACAAGTGATAACTGTAAAAGCTGGTGATTTAAAGCAGTTACAAAGTATTTAAACAATGGCACTCTTTAAAACAATGGCACTCTTTACAAAGGAAAAAAAAGAAAACGTCTATATAAATGCTGCATCACTTTTTTTCTTCTGTCCTTGCATATCGCCTATCTGAGAAAAACATAGAGGGGAATTTATTATTGAATTCTCAAGAGCGTTCCTGGTTAACTCCAGCCTCACACTTTAATAACTGGTTGTGTGAACATATGATTTCCCTATGAAACATGGCTCATTGTTAACATTCATTGTATTTCCAAGCTGCAAACCTTTATAAGTGCCCTATTTGAGGCTACAGGGTGTGAGTTCTCAGGGGTATGAAGCCAACCACCAAACTCTGAGTCAAAGTCAAAGTTATTTAGCAAACATCTGGAGGATTGTAGCTGCCCGGCTGTGAAATAAACCCCATCTTTTTTCCTTTTGCCACGAGGTAGCTGCAAGACAATACAAGTCAAGAGAGCAGCTATAGTACAGAGCAGAATACAAAACAATGACCCTGAGCGGGTACTACATACAATAGTGTGCAGTGTACCAGCATGTTATTGTAAGTCAATGTTACATGAATGAAACAAATTCATGAAACAACATTGCACTGTTTTCTATAATAAAATAGTCTCTCAGTTGTTATGGTTCTTGAATGTATCCAGCCCATGAAGCACAGTGGTACTTTTAATTCAAGGATAAAGGGGGAATGCCAATATCTCAATCACAGGGTTCTGACATCCTCCTCTCAGTGTTGAGCTGTAGAGAACTGATGTGGTAATCACTGTGTGATTGTTTGATCAGTTTGCATCTCCGCAGCCATGTGTAGCCAATACTTTTTAACTGGCAAATCACGCATTGTTTACTGCCTTGATGTTCAAATCTGATGTTGTATTCTTTAAATTAGTTATCTTGATAAGAAGTATCTTTGACCGAAAGTTGCTTCAAGGTTATAGTCTATTATTTAAAAATACTAACAGCACTCTGATATTGGTCTTTCTTCCTCATTGGTATCGGGTTTATAGTTGACTCATATGATGGAAACCTACAGTACAGTACAGTGTTAGTTTCAATTTATAGTTAGGTGTTGGATTTCACTCATGGATAACACAACCCTTACACTACATATATCTATCTAACTGTATTGTCAAAATGTTTTTTTTAATAATTTTGATAGCGGTGCAGTAATGTGTTCTAAAACCCGGAAAAGACTTAGAATTTCACCAATTCAGGTTCCCTCGTCTCAAGGTTAATGTTTTCTGAACGTGTTTGTGCTTATAAACCCGCATTAAGGTCTGTGATTAACATAAGCTGAAGAAAGCTGCACATTTTGTTCTATGACATAAAATACGCATCTGCTTTTGGCTTAAGGGTGGTGATATGCAGCCATGCGACCGTGCTGTAGTTAGTTTATAGCATTACGTTAGCTTTTTATTACGGCCAATTGCATTAACATTTGAAAAACCAAAAGTGGTGTTAATATGTAGAGATTTGTAGCTGGACAAAACCTGTTAAGTATCATAAACTTGTTTTGGCCACAAACCTTATTTTCTTCCATATGCGGAGATCCAATGGGGAAATCCAACTGCTTTTTCGTCGAGGGACCCTATGCTAACTTCTGGGTCTGGCATACAAAAATACTTCATCGCTGCACAACTCTATTCACTTTGAGATTTAATAAGGAAGGATTCTAAAAAAGCTTAATTTTTGGATACTTTAGGGAGGAAACACAAGACGCCAATGCTGACCAAAAAGTTATTCTGATAATCACACATTATCTATTTCCACTTTCAGTCTATATTGAGCCATTTACTGATCACCGGGGTATTGGGAAAAATGATAAGCAAAACATTTTCATAATCATATGAAAACTCTCTAATGATCGTCTAGATGGCGAATGTTAAGTGTTGAAATATGTCTTGATTTCGTCTCACTAGTCCCTAGTATCTAAGCCAACATCATTAGGCTAATTGATGCTGATACGGAGCAATCAGTGGGCACACCTGGCATGTATCAGCTGTAGCTCCCAACAACCCCTGATGGTTTATAAATAAATGTATGCTGGAAAAAGCAGCTGGGACTTTGTCATTGTTTGAAGTAATTTATTTCACATTCATTTTGAACGTGCCAAGCTGAACTGGTGTTTGGAAACATGGACGTGAACATAAAGTTTATAAAGCTGGTTTTTGACAGAAAGAAAAATCTCAGCTGTGACCTCCAATGAGTTGAATTTCCTAGCTGCTCAGCTCCAAACAAAAAAGCATTTTTCTGCCATGACATCTCCATCTTTTACACAAAAAACACACACATTTTTTGACTGTCTCTATCTCTCCCTCAGAGCATGACGATTGCGCCAGCGGCCAAGATGAGTGTGATGAGAACGCCATCTGCACCAACACCATCAGAGGACACCTGTGTACCTGCAAGCCGGGCTACGTGGGCAACGGCACCATCTGCAGAGGTAAGTCCCTGCCCTCCAGACTCACAGATAGACCCCAGACCTGCCCCCACACGCTTTGATGGTGGCTGATCCTATGCTCCCTAACATCATGGTCGGTCTGGTTCACTCCTCTCTCACATCACCTTACCAGGCAGCAGCTGCCTCAGAGATGATGAAAATTGATTCCTGGGTCGTTTCAGCCTGTGTTTCCACATGTGTGCCTCCTCTCCCTCACTGCACACCCCGCTCCCTGTTGACCTGTCTGCCCGCCCTGATTTGCCCTGCAGTATCATACAGATGGAGGAAGGAGGGAAGAAATGAGATGTTTTTTGTGAATTGTGTCAGGTTGTAGGTGTTGTACATGCAGTGCTTATAGTTGAATACAATATATATATGGAAAGATATCTTATCTCTTTTCAAAGTCCTCCATTCAGCCCATGGATGGGTTCTTAGTACACTCCAGCCTAATAGGCAAAGCACTGAAGGTTGTCATATATAGAAAATTGAAAAAGACAACCAGCAATTAAAGCAAAGTGGAAAAGTGCCTTAATCAAACAAACATGAATAAACCCTCAAACGGATACTCAACATAACAACATTTACAGTTTTTTTAACCCAAAGTACTATGCAGGTGCTTAATTTGACAAGTACATGTTTTTAACTGTGCGAGTGCAGTCGTTTAGTCTTTCGCAAAGTGTGTCTAAAAATCGGCCTGCTCCAAACGGAGCTCTGAAAGTTAAGAACATAATGTTTAATATGCAACCTTACTTTGTTTCATTAGCTTTTCACAATCAGTGCAGATGTCTTGCCAATAAACATTGGCTTTTTGCAAAGTGGCCATTTTCACTGGCTGGCCAATTCAGAAATGGCAACTGTTTGCACATGTTATCAAATTACAGATTTACAGCAAGAGTGACTTATTGCTGTTAAATGATTTCCAATTCAGAAAGCTGCTCAGTGTTTAACACTCCGTTATCGAACTGGACCTCAAAATGTTAAATAACAATCCCATGAAATTACAATAATTTTTGTTACCCAGTTACATGGGAAAACCCTGTGTGAGCTGGAATTGGCATTTGTTTTCTATCGTAGTGCTGTGACCCTAATGTTGGTGTTGTGCACATTTCTGAAAGGTTGTGTAGCTATTTCCATGCCCTCTGACATTCTTGTGTGAGCATGAGTAAACACATCCAACCTTTAGTTTATGACTCGTCTGTCCACTCGGCCATGTGTTGGATGAACTATATTTAACTGTATATCTGCACTGAAGGCTGTCGCAGTGGGACGTTGGCTGCAGGTTCAGGGCAGATTGGGTCCAGGGCCCGGAGTCTGGGGAGACTCGTTAGAGTGTTGGTAGATTCGACAAGCAGAGCTCCCTTCTGAGTGCAACACATATCCCAGGGGTCCATTATCACAGCTGCAGAAACATCCCGGGAGCTGGAGTCCCCTTGTCCACCTGAGGATTAACAGCCATGTTTACACTAGGTCCAGCAGGGTGAAGAGAGGGAAAACACACTGTGTGCATAACATAACATGAAGCTTAGTTTTTGGCTAATTAACCACAAAAACTGAGATGCTATCTCTTTTTCAGAAAACACCTGGACGAAATTGCACAACACATTACATATGTAATTGTGGTTGTGTTCTAAGGGTTTGTTATATTTTAGGTCCACCTCCGCATCGGTAAAATGTCAGCAAATCCCTTCTCTTTCTTGTCAATTAAGAGATATATTTATTATTCAGGTTTGCTTTTGAGCAGATATTAGATATTCAAGGACAATCTGGAGGTGAATTACATTTTGTTGTAAGCGAAAACTACATACATCACAATGAATTTGAAATAATTGTTATATAGTTAATACATTTTATGCTAGATTCATGTTTGATAGATGTAATTGAAGCTACATTTGAATGTATTTACATGTTAATGTTTCATAACAATCAGAACTAAAGCATGCAAAGCAGTTTTTGAATGTAAGGTCTTTAAATTCCTGATTTAGTGACAACAGTTCTTGGTGAAATGAAATTATACTTTTGTTCTACTTGTCAATAAACTCCTATAGTACTAGCATAACAAGTCAAACCTCTCACATGCACAACATTAACTTATCAACTTAAAGTGGACTTATCATGCTATATTTGAAACATATATTGTAGGGCCATACCTATATAAAGTATATAAATATATATATTTTTTCAAAATACCAAACAGATCTTGCATTTTAGCCATGCCTCATTTCGCTCTATTTGCTCTTTCCAGCCCTGTTTTTGCAGGGGGCTGATTCTGTGAGCTGCAATTGACCACGCCCCCCTGCAGGAGAGGGGAGTTGGCAGTTACTTTGGCATTAGGGCAGGGATATCTAGATACTTTCCAAGGTTTGACATAATGAATTGTGCTACTTTTAAAGCAAGCAACGATGTTTTCAAATCTGTAATCAAAAAGCTCAAAAACACTATCGAAGCAGTTCCTGCCGTTGCTACGTTAGTTCAAACAGTAACAACGGACTATTTTTCTTAGCAGATGCATGTCAATTTAAATCAATACATACAACTATTTTTTAAATCAATAAAATCATTTTCTAAATCCATAAAAGCATTTAAATTAATATTGGGAGTCATGTCATTACTTTGTTGAGAATGTGGCCATGTAATAAGTGTACAGGCGTACGGACCTCGGCGCAAGCGCCTCGGTCCTGCCGCAGTACTGTCGTACCAATAATGACGTTCAAGAACGGCCTCTCGTGTATGATTGCTTAAAAGAACACCGACAGGCCTGGCATATGTACTAAAGCGTCTCCAGCGCTTTCGAGCAGCAATGGCTGACCGTGGCCCAACCTGATAGGTGGAGAATTGACCAATAGCCGTAGCACTACCGTCCTGACGTCAGTAAAGTGTTCAAATCTGGATCAGTCTGTATCAGATCCGTTGCAGCCCCAACATTGCTGGTTCAATCAAAACAAATACTGCAGATTGTAAGGCTGCATCCTCTGTAAAATTTCATTTATTATTCTTTTTTGATATTTTGATAATCCTTTATCTTCATTAACAGAGGTAAACATTAAAACATGATTACATTTGACCCTGCCATGTTGCATCCACCATGATTTCTAACTCATTAAGTGCTGTTCTGCATCTACACTGCTGCTCATCCCCATGACAACTAATGATGTTGTAATTAGAAGAACAGCACAGAGGAAAGCATGTCAGTCATACCAATGATTAGCGAAAGATCGAGATAGAGGGAGAGAGAGTTGAAAGAGGAGAGAAGGATTGAGAAAGCAAGACAGAAAGTAAATGCAAAATGCTCTTATTTGAAAGAGGCACAAAACAACGGGATATGGAAAAAGAAGCAGGTGTGTGTAGCAGCACCCACCCATATATATCCTCTGTAACACAGGCATTAGGATGGGCGGCAGGTGGGAAGCAGGTCTTGGGAGAGATCAATGCAATTTGCAAAGTGGCTTCCACACAATTTCTGCCTTTGGATTGTTGCCTGGCTCTTGCTACGCACCCCCACACACACATTTACATTACATTTCATTTAGCTGACGCTTTTATCCAAAGCGACTTACAATAAGTGCGTTCGACCAACAAAATACAAACTTGAAGAAAACAGAATCATATAAGTACATCAGGTTTCATAGAGCAAAAACATTTCAAGTGCTACTCAACTGGCTTTAGGTAAGCCAGTCCTTTATTAGTATATAAGTGCTCTGTTAATAGTTATATTGCTCGAAGTGGAGTCGAAAGAGATGAGTTTTCAGTCTGCGCCGGAAGGTGTGTAAGCTATCTGCTGTCCTGATGTCAATGGGGAGCTCATTCCACCATTTTGGAGCCAGGATAGCAAACCCACTTGTTTTTGCTGATGGGAACTTGGGTCCCCTTCGCAGCGAGGGTGCAGCGAGCCGTTTGGTTGATGCAGAGCGGAGTGCACGTGCTGGGGTGTACGGTTTAACCATGTCCTGGATGTAGGAAGGGCCAGATCCATTCGCAGCATGGTACGCAAGTACCATTGTCTTGAAGTGGATTCTAGCAGTTACCGGAAGCCAGTGGAGGGAGCGGAGGAGCGGAGTGGTGTGGGAGAATTTAGGAAGGTTGAAGACCAGGCGAGCAGCTGCATTCTGGGTGAGCTGCAGAAGTTGGATGGCACATGCAGGTAGACCAGCCAGGAGGGAGTTGCAGTAGTCTAGGCGTGAGATGACGAGAGCCTGGACCAGAACCTGCGTCGCTTTCTGGGTCAGCTGGGGACGTATCCTCCTGATGTTGTAAAGCGTGTATCTGCATTAGCGGGTTGTAGCAGCTATGGTTGCAGTGAAGGACAGATTGTTATCTAGGATCACACCCAGATTCCTTGCAGTCTGAGTCGGGGAAACAACAGCGGTGCCGATGTTGATTGTTAGGTCAAGAGTGGGACAATCTTTTCCCGGAAGGAAAAGCAGTTCAGTCTTGTCAAGGTTGAGCTTGAGGTGATGAGCAGACATCCACTGAGAGATGTCAGCTAGACAAGCAGAGATGCGTGCGACGACCTGGGTCTCTGAGCGGGGAAAGGACAGAATTAATTGGGTGTCGTCAGCGTAGCAGTGGTATGAAAAACCATGCGGGCTAATGACAGATCCGAGCGAGTTTGTGTACAAGGAGAAGAGGAGGAGACCAAGAACAGAGCCCTGAGGGACCCCTGTAGTTAATTGACAAGGGTCGGACTCGGACCCTCTCCAAGTAACCCTGTAGGTGCGGTCTTTGAGGTATGAGGTGATGAGGGAAAGTGCAGAGCCTGAAACTCCAAGTTCTTGGAGAGTGCGAAGGAGGATCTGATGATTCACCGTGTTGAATGCAGCAGACAGGTCCAAAAGGATTATGACAGAGGAGAGGGAGGCTGCTTTAGCAGTGTGCAGTTCCTCAGTGACAGCAAGGAGGGCAGTTTCTGTGGAGTGACCTGCCTTGAAACCAGACTGGTGCGGATCCAGAAGGTTGTTCTGATTGAGATAACAGGAGAGTTGTTTAAAGACAGCGCGTTCAATTGT